TACACACTCTTCAGCGCTTCTTCCTATTTGCTGCCCAATTCATGGATCATTGAATAAAGCCAATCAGATTTTTAAATTTTACTTAGCTAAGTTTTGTTTTTTAACAAATTGATATGTAATAAACTACACATATATAAAATATGCAATTTGATCAACTTTGATAAATGTATTCATCTGTGAAGCCATCATCAAAATCAAAGCACCCAGGAGGATGACACATCCAAATATATATAATGTTTAGGTTCAGAGCACCATAGAATGATGAGGAGGATAGGCATGAGGCCAGCTCCTAGGACAAGATTTCTTGTGCTTTGAGAAAAGTTCTTTCTCAAAATGATAGGTGGTCTCTGATGCACTGGTAAATGCCACAGGACAGAGGTTTGTTTGATGATCCTGGTATTAGTTCTAAAGGCGAGGCCTGTGTCCCTGAGGATGGATCTCGTGGTGGCTGAATTCTCAAAGTGGAAAATACCTAATGGGAAAAGTGTGCTCCAGGGAGCACCCCAACTGAGGGCAGATTCAAGGTCTCTCATTGAATCTTCCCTTTTAGCAGAACTTTCTCTTGTTGGAGCAACTCTGTTCAAATCTCAAATGGTCAAGACCTTTGTTTTAATGTCATAAGCTCTTTCCTTATCCTAGCTCTGTTCAGTTTTTCTAGCTCTTGAATTTTACCTGCTTAACTAGTTATTCGTGCTAAAGGAAGAGACTAAGGCAGGGGTGGGCAAACTTTTTGACTCAAGGGCCACAATGGGTTCTTAAACTGGACCGGAGGGCCGGAACAAAAGCATGGATGGAGTGTTTGTGTGAACTAATATAAATTCAAAGTAAACATCATTACATAAAAGGGTACGGTCTTTTTTTTTTTTTAGTTTTATTCATTTCAAACGGGCTGGATCCAGCCTGCGGGCCGTAGTTTGCCCACAGCTGGACTAAGGTGATGAAGGCTCCAACTATCCTAGGTGACTGCAGCAGAACTTAGCTGATACATCATAAGGGTATAAAGGTGGACTGCACCACCAAAAGGCATTGGCTAATACCAGCTGGTTTCAGAGGGCTGTTTAGAGAGAAGTTAAGTTACCACCAAGATCACAGCAGGAAGCAGAAAGGAGATGGTTTCATATGCTACTGATATAACCAGAAACAGGCAAAGTAAACAACAGAAGTAAGATCTCAACCACCAGTCTCCACGCCCATCAGAGCATGGGTGCACAGCCTTGTATAAACTATGGATCGGAACATTTCTCTCCACTGTGTTGTGATGCACCCCAGAAGGAAAAATAAGGATTTTTCTTTTAAAAATAAGTTTGTGTATGTGTGTGAATATGTGAATATTTATACATCTAGAAGTAGAGACATCAAACTGTTGACAATGAGTCTCTCTAGGATGGGGCAATGGGAGTCCTTTTTCTTCATTTACATGCTATTTGGAAAAGGTTAAAAAAGAAATGTGACTTTCATAATAATAAAAAAAAGAACCTGGAAAGTTCTGAATAAACACAGCATCTGTAGGGTGTCTCAGGTTTGGGTTGGGTGGCCTGTGTCCTCTGGACCTGAAGGTGCTTTTTTGCTAGGTGGCATGCAAAACTCTCCCAATAGATGTATCCGCAAGCCAAGCCTTCGTTTCTCATGGAAAAATAATCTAGTCCTCCAACGAACAGTGTCACTATTTAACAATGGGCTATTACCACAGGTCACTAAGCCAACTAGCGCCTACCATGCTACTGCCCTACCACTGGCGATCTTCTCAAGAATCATTAGTCACCTAAATAGAAATTCTACAGCCAGGAATGGTTCTTTATGGCTTAGGCTTACATCTTCCCTCCCCAGCCATGTTGTAAGATACTCATCCTAGAGCAGTGATGGCAAACCTATGATGCACGTGTCAGAGGTGACACGCGAACTCTTTTTTTGGTTGATTTTTCTTTGTTAAATGGCATTTAAATATATAAAACAAATATCAAAAATATAAATCTTTGTTTTACTGTGATTGCAAATATCAAAAAATTTCTAGATGTGACACAGCACCAGAGTTAAGTTAGGGTTTTTCAAAATGCCGACACGCTGAGCTCAAAAGGTTCGCCATCACTGTCCTAGAGGGTAAATTTGAAACAAAACTGTTAAACCTAAACAAAAAAGGAGGGGTTATGTTTGCTATCCTGGTAAGAATGCCTTTTGCTGTGACCTCTTCACTGCATGTGTCACCTTCCACAATTTAAAGTCCATGGTTTTATGTCCATTAAATATAGGGTGTCCCCAAAAGGTATACATACATTTTGAATAGTTATAAAGGCAGTGTTTATTAAAACATATTTCATTCTTCAAAATTGAGCTGCTAAAGTGTGTATACATTTTTTGTAAATAGTTATTACTGAATTCACTGCCTAATTGCCACCCCCCCATTATAATGAAATGTTTCAATTTGAAACAAAACTGTTAAACCTAAACAAAAAAGGAGGGGTTATGTTTGCTATCTTGGTACGAATGCCTTTTGCTGTGACCTCTTCACTGCATTTGGCAGTTTGTCACCTTCCACAATTTAAAGTCCATGGTTTTATGTCCATTAAATATAGGGTGTCCCCAAAAGGTATACATACATTTTGAATAGTTATAAAGGCAGTGTTTATTAAAACATATTTCATTTTTCAAAATTGAGCTGCTAAAGTGTGTATACATTTTTTTGAAACACCCAGTATTTTTAATTGATCACTCATGCTTGTCTAGTTATATGCCTATTATTGAGGTGTGTGCATTTTCACATAACAATTCACTATTCTCATTTGACAATTTAGTACCTTTGTGCCAATCAACCATGTAGAACACCATAACCCACTGAGGATGTACAAAGACGAGTATGTTGCCATCTAAACTCTAGGATTAAAAAGCTCATTGCTTGAAGAAAGCTTCATTTTTTCCCATAGTCCAGTGCTACCAGCATATTTACTAGAACAACCAGAATACATGAATTCAATTTCTAAAATTTTGTATCATTTTCAGGTTTTTTAATGAGTAAATTATATCCCCTAACCTTCCTGAGAAGATTCATAGTCATGACTGGAAATGGATAGAAATGATAAATGACATGGTAGAGACATACTAGTAGATCGTCACACATGCATTACAAAAAGGCGCATCTATAAAACAACCACAGTTATTCCCCCCTTTTATATTCCTCAAAAATAAATTTTTAAGAAAAGGACTTAATGTTTCCTAACCTCTTGCATAGGGAACTATGTTTGTTTTCATAAGAAAATGATCATTACCTCCACAGGCTTGGATGATGCATATCATGCCCCATAAAAAGTTCAATGGTTATGGACTTACCTGGATACATTTGGAGAATTTTTTTCCTTCTTCTCTCTATTGCATTTCACTACCCTGACTCATATTTTACTATCCCCTTGGCTCAGGGATAGATAGACGCAATAAAATGAAATTCAAGTTGGTTTCACAGACAGTAAACATGCATTATAAATATGAAACATACCATCAGATACATATTATGCTCATTGAGCATACATTTTAGAACTTCCTTCGAGATGCTTTATGACTAAAACCATAATCTGGAACCATTCACTGTCCTTAGCTTTAGAATTCTGCATGGTTTCATGAGATGTTCACTTTAAAAAATGCAGTCCAAACTTATAGCTTTTGAGTCAAACAATATAGGTGAAAGACATTTTTAGTTGAAAAACCAGAAAAATACCACTGATCCTTTTTCACAATGAAACAGAGAACAGAAGTAACAATAAAATATCAGATTCAACTAATAGATTAAGAAATCTGTAGACAGTCCTATTTCACTCTTTGTTTGCCCCACTTGGGGAACTAAGTCCCTGAATGTTTAAGAGACTTCTCCAAAATAACATGGGATCAGGCTGAACCCCCAACATCCTAGCTTCTAATCAAACTATAACTATGCTTCCTCCTACAGAATGTTCAAGCTAGGACTCTGGGTCTCAGTTCTGGCTTCAGTTATATCAACATGTCAGACTGCCTTCACTGAGTGAAGGACACCACATCTTAAGATCAGTATATTCAAATTGCCCAATTTGCATATACACAAAATTATAGGCAGATGGGGGTGGGTATAGAAGTCAGATGTGTACGAATCACATACACCCAAAACCATCACCTTAGTGTAGCCGTATTTGCATGCATGTCAAACCTGCAGCTAGTCGTAAATTAATAGCATTAAGAATCAACACATTAGGGCTGCTTAATTTTCAGAAGCATAAAAACATAATTATACGTGGGGATCATGTGCAGTGACTATATTTAAGACCAACATATTAGGGCCCACTAATTTTAAAAACTTTGAACTTTCACAGTTTGAAGATACTTGTTCTACTGTGTGTATGTGTACAAATTTGAGTCTCTGGTATCACTCTGAAGCACTTGATGTGATTAATATACCTAACAACACAAACAACACATTTCTCAGAATGTATCCCCACAGTTAAGTGGTACATCATGGTATATATATATCCATCCCCACAAACATGCAATTGAGCAACTCTAATAGTTTGTATAGCTCACGTTCTAGATCCCATCCACAGTGACAACCTAAAGAGCCACTGAGGAGAGAGCGAGTGAGCTAGGAATGACCATCCTGATCCTGGAGGATGAGGAACTGTGGCCCCCTTCTCCTGTCCCTCAGAAATATGTGTGTAAATAGAGAGAATGGAAAATTAACTATAGGAAGGATTACTTTGAGTAGAGTAGATCATTTCATACTGGACAATCTCTTGCTACATTGAGTAATTCTATAATAAAGTAACTGGAAAATGCTACCACTGGTTGGTTCCAAGTGGCATAAGTATAGCAAAGTTTCCTGTAGGTTGTAGACTTTTGTAGCTTAGACGCTGCTTTTGGCTTTCTCTACTCTTAGGAATACCATTCTGCATATATAAAACCTCTTGCTCTCTACAATTAATTTGGTTTCCATCTTTACAAAAATGAACACATGTGAAATGCATGGTGTGGGGTGCATTTTCACTTACCTTTTCCGCTGACTGAGCGGTGCCAAAAAAAATTGGAATGAAGGCAAGCCATACTATACATGTCGTGTACATAGTGAATCCAATGGGCTTGGCTTCGTTAAAGTTCTCTGGGACACCCCGAGTTTTGATGGCATACACAGTACACGTGACCATGAGAAGAATGCTATATCCCAACGAGCAAATGATTTGCAGATCTGTGATGTCACATTTGAGAACTCCCCTGGCCAGCTCGGGGTTCATTGTCTTATGTTCATCATAGTCTACGATGATGTTGGGTGGGTCAACGCCAAACCAAATGAAGACACCTAGAAGCTGAACTGATATTAAACTTGAAGTGATGGCCAGCTGCGATGTCGGGCTGATGAGTCTGGGAGCTGTCACCGACTTCTTGCCCTGCTCAAATATGCGATAAATCCGATTGGTCTTTGTCAAGAGGGCTGCATAACTGATGCACATCCCCAAGCCCAAGAACACTCTTCGGAAGGAACACACCGCCACGTCGGGCTTGGCTATCATCAGGAAAGTGATGATGTAGCAGAGAAAGATGCCGGTCAGCAGAACATAGCTGAGTTCCCGCCCAGATGCCCGGACGATGGGCGTGTCATTGTAGCGGATGAAAGTGGCCATGACAAAGATGGTGGCGATGATGCCCAGCATCGCTAAGAAGACGGGGATGACGGCCCAGGGGGAATGCCACTCCAGCTTGATGATGGGGATATCCTGGCAGCCAGTCCGGTTCTCATTGGGCCGCTGGTCATAAGGGCAATGCTGGCACGTATTCTCATCGAACTGGTACTGGTAGCCGTCACACGGCTCGCAGGTCCAGCAGCAGGGGGTTCCCTTCTGGGTCTTCTTTCTTTGGCCGGGTTTGCAGGGCAGAGTACACACGGAGTGAGGGATCTCCCGGACCCCTTTACCCCATTGCATGTCCTCGATCTGCAATGTAAGGGATACGAAGGCAACAGCGCATTATTCGAGAGAAAAGGGAACGACTAGCAACAAACATAAGAGAAGTATTTGACCGCCTGATGAGGTCATGTGATTTACTCCTCTAGTAGGATCTACAACCAAGATTTGACCCCCTACCAATCCATTGCAACATCCTGACCATTCACATAGTCGTAGAGTATGTTCCAAGCATACTTGATTCTAAGAAATTCCTGTGACAATTTTAAAGAATACTAGTATAAATTCTTTGTCTCCATTCCTGACCTCCCAAATAAGAATATCCTGAAAAAAGGTCTTTGGATCTTTACTTTTAACAAGTGCCCTGGGGAGTCCTACGATTAGATAAATTGAGAAATACCCACATGCTCTCTACTGCCTTCTCCGGGATAAATGCAAATGTCCCAAACCACAGTGAGAAACACACACACACACACACACACACACACACACACACACACTGAATATATAAAGCTAAATTCATCTCCACTATTAGGTGCTTTAAAAATGTTTTAAAGTTATTTTAAATTCTGTAGCATCACTGCCATTGTCATTGAGAAATTGTGAAGCAGAGTAAGCCTTTCATTTCATTTATCACCCAGGAGTGAAAAGGTTCGCTTTGAGGGCTTTCATTCTAGTGGAGGATATCCTAAGAGGTCAGGAAGCATTTGATCAGAAAATAATACGGTCTGGAAACCTTTCAAGATTGGCTATGTACCTATTTGGAGATGAAAATTAAACTAAAGCACTCTAACTTAGAAGAGGATAGACAAGTGTTTGCTTAATTAGAATATTGATTTTCTGGAAGGGAATCCATAATCAACTGTGTTCTGAGAAATAATGGCATTAGAAATACAACACTTTACTATTGGGCTGGAATTCCTGGTGGTGGATACGGCTCAGCTTTGCCAGAATGGCAGCTACTGTTCTGCTTTTCTGAGGCCACTTTCTCAGAGCTCTTTTCTGTGAGTTTTCTGTGAGTTACACGGAAGCTCCGGGGGCAGCACACAGGACACAAGTGTGGCCAGTGAGTAGACCACAGTGGATCCCAAGCCTGAGTGTGCAACAGAACCACGTGGAGGACTTGTTGCAACCCAGTATGCTGGCCCTACTTTCTAATTCTCAGATGCACTGGGTATGGGGTGGGACCTGAGAATATGTATTTATAACAATATCTACCAATATCTCAGGTGCTGTTGCTGGGCATTCTCTAGGGACCACACTTCACCCACCACTGATACATTCTCCTCCCAGAGCCTGGGTCAGGGATGGGATTGCCTTGGAATGGCACAGGATTTAATTTCATGTTTTTTACTGAGATTGTACAGATTAAAAACTTTTGGTTTTGTTGGACTTACAGTTTCCAGCATGTAGGGATGCTGGCTGGTGCTAATGGCTACAAGAAGGAAGACGTTTGTCAGGAAAAGAGGGAAACACAAAAGAAAGCAATGAAGAAAGTTGAAGACAAAGATTATTCTTGAGCCTGTTTGAGCCACTGGATATAGCTATGCCTGAAGCAGGAATTCCCAAGGTTGTGCCATTATGTAAGCTAATAAATTCTGCTATGCTGAAACACTTTACATAGCATTTCTATCACTTGCAACCAAGAGTCCTAAAAGTTATATGTACTAAATAATTTCAGCATCTACAAGTTGCAAAAGATACACCTACCAAATTAATGAGAGAAGAGATTTAATTCCAATGAATAAATTTGGCTGATATTCCCCATACTTACTTAATTGAATTTTTAATACAAAAATAGGTTAGAAAGATACTAGAAAGTCTGGGGCTTTTTTAAAAGATAAAAATAATTTTAAGAGATAAGAGGGAAAGAAAATTAATTCATAGCTCATCGGAATTTCACTACTGTGTTAAACAGAATGTAATTTATAGCGGGGTGTGATATTTCTATCAAACTTGAATGAGAACTACCTTGAAAATCTGAATCAATGTAGTTGACTCTGAAAAAATATGGCTCAGGGTTTAAACTTCATAAAACATCATATCCTTGCAATGGTTGAATTTAGACTTTAACCAGAGACCCAAGAATATTCAGATGAGTCATATGCACTCATTTGCCTGAATACAAAACCCAATAATTCTAAGTATAAATAAAATAAACTTAACTAAACATGAAACATCAATAATTTTTTTCTCTCAACATCATCATTTTGATGGAAGTAAGTCCCTGGCAGCCATCCCCAATTCATAAAATTAAGGAAATCATTTGTAATAAGAGCGAAAAAGATGCGCATTCACTTCACAAATGTCAAATTTTAAGAACCCGGAATCTAAAAGAGTTACTATTAATACAAAGGTTTTCAAATGTCAAATTAAAAGGTCCTAGGCCTGGTTAATAAGATAAATTTAAAAACTACAAGTGAATTTTATTAGCTAAACTTGAGGTTGCCTATTCCAACATAAGTGACCCAGAAGGGAACCCCCTGCTGCTGGACCTGCGAGCCTTGTGACGGCTACCAGTACCAGTTCGATGAGAATACGTGCCAGCATTGCCCTTATGACCAGCGGCCCATATGCCATGATTAAACTTGATCTTTGGGAACAGATGTAGGGCTCTTACAAATACAGGCACAAATAATCATTCTGTCATATTCTACAGTCAATTTTAAATGTTGCCAGCTCACTACTTCTAGTTCCCCTTGATTAAAATAAAATGCCTACAATGCTGAACAGCTTTTTCTCTCAATTTACCCAAATAAATAAAGAACTGTAACTATAAAAACTGCATTGACTGATTACTTAATTTGTTTTCGATTTTCATTTAAAGTAGATCTCAACTCAATTTAATTGCATATATTAAACCAACAAAGTTGCCTCCTGCTCCAAATAAACAACAGTCTAATTCACTTGCTTTGCCGATTGAAAGAAATATTGATAATATAGGGTGGGGCAAAAGTAGTTTATGGTTGTATGTGAAGCACAGTTTATTCTTGTAGCAATTATTAATTATAGTACTATTCTCCATACAAACAATGGTAAACCTACAAAGGTACCAAGTAACCTGTAAAAGCTCTGGTAAGTGAGGATTTTGTTAAAGCAGCACATATGACTTGTGCATATCTATACCCACATACACAAATTCAGTGCTTTGTTTCATATGAAGAAACAGGCACCTGCAAAAGACTCTAGGCAACTATTTAAGGGAGAATAATAATTTAGCGCTATGAAAAAAACAACCATAATCTCTGAGAGCTAGTAGGGATGCAAATTTCAAGTTCCTTTCTGAACTCTGCAACAAAATTGTCTCAGTTAGCTGGGAAGCCTAACTTATATGAGTAGGTGGACTAATGTTTTAGGAAAAAGAAAATTATAAAGTTCTGGTCAATGAAAGCAACAATAAGCCTGTTGTGAAATCCCAGGAAAGTGTTCTTCATTCTTATAAAAGAGACAGAGAAGGGATATGCTGTCTTCAGCCTTTGAACTTTGATGTGTACAAAAATGATGTGAGGAACTGCAGCAGCCATTCTGTATCCATGAAGAGGCAAGTCTAAGGAATAAAGCCAATATGCTGAGAATAGAAAAAAAAAGATAAAGATAATTTGTGTCTTTGATAGCATAATTATGTCACCTACTTAACCAACACTATTGACTGGTACCACTGAAGTTCTAATACGAAATAATAGCTTTCCTTAATGTTTAATCAATTATTTTTTAAATATATGTTTTCATTAATTTTTAGAGAGACTGGAAGGGAGAAAGATAGAGAGAGAAAAACTGATGAGAGAGAAACATCACTGGTCGGTTGCCTCCTGCATGCCCCCTACTGGGGATGGACATATTCCCTGACCAAGAATCAAACTGGTGACCTCTTGGCTCACGCCCAACCACTGCACGCAACGGCCGGACTAACTAATCGATTCTTCGTGGCAGTCTACTACTTGCAGCCAAACATCTAATACATTCTTTCTTGCTTCTGCATCTGGTGCAGACCTTCTGAATCTGTTAGACAATTGGTCAGTAATGCATGCTCTTAGATGAATAACAGGTAGCTCTGGAAGGGAAGGGGACCGTTGAATCACACATGGTCAGAAACACTTCTCTCTGTCCCCTGAAAATGCTCAGATAGCAGGGTTGTAAAGGCCTGGACTCAGAAAATCAGCTGTGACTCCATTGCTTCTTTCTCAGACAAAAAACAAGGAAAAGCCACCTGTCAGCTATACGTCTGTGCCACATGCGTTTGGCAGAGGAAAACTGGGTTCTGGCCCTAGACGAGAGTGTGTTACTCCACAGGGAACGTGCAGGCCTCATAATCACTGGAATTAAAAAATAAAACCAAATTAGTTGCTGTCTGACTGCCAAATGCAGGAATCAAACAGTGACAAATTTTATAGTGTTTGGAGCACCCATTTTCCATCTAAAAGAGATCTGTTCCTTTCCCCCACACAGTCACTTTCTATCTGAAAGAAAATGTTGTCACTCCAGGTATATTTTCTTTGGTGAAATTGAATTTGCCTATTTCTAAATCCTACTGTGTAGACCCAACTGGCTGCGGCTTCTATTGGATACTTCTCTGTAATATTAGTTTTCCTTATTAAAACCTTAATAGAATGAGATAATTTTAAAAGAGCTTTCTTACTAAAATGCCATTTTTCAATAAAACATATCTGTTGTATCTAATTTATAGAAAAAGATTTCTAGGAAAATGCAGAGAAATGTTCACTTTTTAATACTAGAAAAGAGCCAGGTTTGGGTTCTGGTGGAGGGAGGCTAAGGTGATGTGGCAAAAGCTTCATAGGGAATTCTGTAGCACCTCACTGCCTTTTTTATTTTTAAAGACTCAGCCCCTATTTTTATACCTTAGGCAACATACCTGTACTGTGAAACAACATTTCAGGACTGATGTATTACAATAAAAACACTCATTAATTCACATTCTACTTACTCAACATTTGTAATAGAAATCGGGTTTTTTTTGTTTGTTTGTTTGTTGTTTTTACATGTTCTAAGGAGGAAGCACCACGCACAGTCTG